TTTTTTAATTCTTGATGAACCTTTATTTTATTTATTTTTCTGTGGTGCTGACAATGGAACCCAGTGCCTCACACATGCTAGGCAAGCACTCTACCACTAAGCCATGACCCCAGGCCTCAACTACTTTCATTGAAATAAAAATTTTGCAAAAAATATTTAAATTTTCCTAAGCCTTTTTTAACCTAAGTGAAGCAGCTGTGACATATTCTAATTTTAGTCCCACATGACATCCTCTGAAGTCTTGTCAGTTATCTTATTTTAGCACTAAAATAGTCTGTCATTGTAGTATTTTAAATGTTGAATGCTTATATAAAAAGTGTATCTATAAAATTATGGTAAACTATGTAGTTTTTAAAAGTTATTGGCAGGGAATGTAAAGTAGTTAGGCATACTGAAGTTGGTTCTTTGTTGAAACATGACACTGGTTTCTATTTTCTCTGAATATGTTTTCTGTGTTTCCTTCCATGCTCAGTGTTCAGAGCCAGTAGCCATATGAAGACAAAAGTTAGGCTTCATCTTGAGTGCTTATATGAAGTTCCTTTCTTGAAAAGATTTGGTTTTCAATAAATAGTTGTTTTTAATTTTCATTGATTTCCAAAATGGTAATTTAGATGTCTTCTTAGTATGTGAATAGGAAATCTTTATGCAACTCTCTATTGACATTCATTCCACCAGAAAATTTGTGAGAGTCCTTCACTGAGACATCTATCTGGGCCTTCAGATCAAAGAGAAAAGCGTACAGTAAGTGGTCATATAAAAGGTAAGAACTATATAGTATAACAATTTAGTTCCAAGTACTTTGAACTAAATGTTTGCTTAAGACATGAGCACTGACATGTTTTCATAACTGACAAAAAGTGACTATTAAATAGTAAGGAAGAAGAGAAGTGAAATGATACTAAGTGGTATAACTTATTACTTTTCAACTACAGGTTAAGTTGGGAATGTCACTAAAGGAAATTAATTATTAGTTCCTTTCCCAGACATGCTAATCCCAGAGGAAAGTTGGGAAATAAGAAAAAGAAAGAAGAGGAAATGGAGACTAAGAAAGGCAGAAGATACAGGGAATAAATGAAGGAAAAATGAGCAGGCTGATACAGTTGAATTCATTACTACTTTGGAAAGAGCATGAGCAGCATATTTAAATGTGGGAAGAATTTGTGAGCTTCCAGAACCAAAACTTGTCCAAGAAGTAGAATAAAATTTTCCCATTCCTCCCATCTCCCTCACTGTTGGAAAAGCATTAGGGATTGAAATACCTGAACACACAAAGCTGTTTAATTTACCACATATAACAGCTATTTGCATCTATAGTTAGGTGTCATTTTAAAGTGTTGCTATTTCCTAGGACAGGATCATATAGTCCAGTACTAGAGAATGGAGAAGAAATTGTAAGATTATTTATGGAAAGACAAGAAAACCACAACCTGATAAAATGCTCATTAGACAGTTTGTGACTTCTTATACAGTTTCAACTTGGGGGATGTGATAGGGAGGAACATGAGGCTAGATTCCAAAAAAAAAGAGAAGTTAGAGGAAGTGAAGGCAGATTCAGTAAAGACCAGAGCTTCTCAACCTTTAATGAATCATCTGTGTGGGGGGAGGACCATGTTAAAATTGCACGTTGTGAATAATTAGGATGGTGGTTCTACATTTTGAATACATTGTAAGGTGATTGCAGTAGTTCTGGTTTCCAGATCTCATTCTAATTAGCTCCAGTGTACCTTTAAAGAAATCTGGAAGAAGGGCCTTGGAATAATAGTTCAAGATACAGTAAGATCAAGGCAGAAGAAAAGGTTGCTTTTATATCTATGCATGTTCCTTGTCAAGAGGAAGGGGGAAAAAGATGCAGTAGTAGAAGTTATAAGCCTCAGATGCTATTGATAAATGAACAGGGAGGAAGAAAGTAATGGGAATAATCCATACAAAGAATGTAAAATGGAAACCAGTCTAGAGATTATTTTTTTAAAAGCAGAATGGCAGCATAAATAAGGAAGGAAAGAAAAAATGTAAGCTAGTTAACTTGGAACTTAATGATGAGGAAATTTGATAAAACTTAATTCATATGGCTTCAGTATATTCCTTCCCTTTCAAACCAAATATTAGGTTATGGCTGCTACAGAGATTATTGGAAGCAGGAGGAATTGTTGGGATTGGAGTAATAGGGACATATATTTCATTGATATTAGCTACTCATATGAGACTTATGTTGTCATAACAGCATTGACTGTTTTTGAAATGATAGCTAATTGTTCCCCTAGTATTTTTTACCTCCTTTCTTATTGGGGCTTGGGATGGCACCCCTGCCATTGGTCTTGATAGGAATGAACACTGTTACTGAGCTACATCCCATCCTTGGTAATATAACCTACTTTTTTCTTATAACTTTTAGTTGTGATTGACAAAATATACCTTTCTTTCTTTCTTTCTTTCTTTCTTTATTTACTTATTATTAGGTGCTAAGGATCAAATTCAGTGCCTCACATGTGCTAGGCAACTACTCTACCACTGAGCTACAGCCCCAGCCCTATAACCTAATTTTTAATGAGATGGTCATTTTACTAAAATCTTTTAAAGACTAAGAAGATGCACCACACCAGAGTAATGCTGGAAACAAAATACATTAGAGAGCTTATTCCTTGAATACCAAATTTATTACTTTGAATATCAATCATGCTGATTTTGAAATATAAAGGGTATTGATATCTAATTCTATGACTGTATTTACTGCTTTCTTTTTATTATCATATTCTAAAATTGTAAGATTACTATATATAATTTCTTAGGTGAATTTCCTACATCTTCTTACATGAGTGCATCAAGTAACTTGAACATGGTGAAACCAGAGTATATAAGAAATGTAAATGCATCAGTATCCTGCAAGGGTATGTAAAATCAAGAATATTTTTTAGTGAACAGTTTTTCTCAACACAAATAGCTAAACTGATCAATTGAGCAAACTTTCTTTAATAAGAAGTGTATATTCATTCCATCAGGCTTTTAGCATACTTTGTACTTCTTAAATTGCAGGACAGTTTGAGGAATATGTTCCATACCTGTAATATAAATGTATAAAAGTAAACAAATACAAAGTGAAAACAAGCAACTTAGTCCATGTTATTCGTTTCACATGTCATTTGGTATCATTTTATAGACTGAGCAGAGTCTCATTTACCAGGGAATCAGATCTATACATGAATTCATTCAATTAAAATGAATTTTACAAAGGACACACAAAATATTTTTATAAGAATTCCTTCATTTCAGGCATGCATCATCTGAATTTTGCACTATTCCCTCAGGCTTGTTCATCTTCTTTCATTTATCCAAATGCCCCTGACATTCGCTGTATGCATAGCATTTAGAGAAATGTGTTTATGTAATCTTCTTTCCCTTGCAGTTATGCCCTTGCACCATTCCTTAAACAACATTAACGGGCAAGTGTCAGAAAGGTACCACTAATGCTGTTGTAATATGACTTTTGCCTAACTCTGTCTTTAGCCCTTTCCCCTATCTACACTTTCCTCTGGCGTTACTCTTCACCAGTAACCTATATTTTTAAACAAGCACACAACCTGTTTAATACTTGAATGCCTCTCCTGCTATTGCCTGTCATGCTCTCACACTTTCCTGCATTCTGGCTGGCTACCCTCACCCTGTAAGTCTCAGCTCAGGTATTATCTCTAGAAAAGCCATCCCAGACACCTTTTAGTCACCCTAACATTTACAAAGAATTCAATAAGCAATTCAATAAAGAAATAAAGACTGTTTATTCAAACCAGGTGACACAAAAGATTGTCCCCACAAGTCTAGGTTCAAATAGGATTGACATGTAAATAAATAATTTTTTTCTTCAGATGGTAAAGGTATAGTATAAAAATCAAAAAAGAAAAACCAATTACCCTAAGGAAAGAAATACCAGTTTTTTGTGCAAAATCCATAATAATGGAAGAATTTACTTAGCAGACTGACTCTAAAATTTAGAAAAGTAGTTTGTCATAAAAGTCCACAAAACTATTTCAGAAATAATGAACAGGGTGTTTACAAATGAAAGTATAGGAAGTATCAGTAATTTTTGAAAGTATCAATGATGAAAAGTTGAAAGTTGATAATAAGTTACTCTTATGAGATGTGAGTTAGAAAACAGAGGACAGTGTAAACATTTATGTTTCTTTGGTATTTTAATATTTTGTCTCTCAGTATTTGATCATTTCTATTGAATGGGTGCATTTCCATCCTCATTGCCATGGATGTAGCCTCCCATGGGCTAGGTTTGTATAGATAGGTGTCTGTGTCAAGGGTTTATGTATCTTTTTGGTTTAAAGATTTGTCATTTCAATTTTAGAATTGTATAAACATCTGTTTAGTAAAAAGAGAAGAATATAAGTGTGACTCCCTCCCCCCACAGTTTTTTTGTTTTTTGTTGGTCTTTTTTTGTTTTTTTTGTTTTTTCCTCAAAACCTTAGTTGTTTTTTAGAAACCACTGTATGCATGGAACCTGGTGACCCCTAGAGCCTGTCCAAGTGATTTCTTTTGGATAAGTAGAATTATTTCCTGGAAAAATCCCTATTTGCTTAGTGACTTGGAGCTCACCTGTAATCTCAGCTACTCAGCAGGCTGAGGTAGGAAAATGGAAGGTTTGAGGCCAGCCTACACACTGTGGAAAGACAATGTCTCAAAATAAAATTAAAAGGCATGGGATGGAACTCAGTGGTAGAGTACTTGCGACGCATGTACAAGGCCCTGGGTTCAACCCTATAGCACATAGGCACACACACATATCAGTGAAAACCAAGCCAAATTAGATGAACTGCAACAAAATAAAATAAGATAAAAAGAAGTAGATATTCAGATAATGATTAAACTTCATTTGAATTATTTATTGGGAAAATAAATATAAATTTTTATTATGATGATAATGATGATGATGGTTGGCTTCTTTAATTCCAATTTGATAGAGTATTACATTTTTTGATTGTTACCAGTACATTTTTCAACAGCACCACCTTTAGAAATTACATCAGAGGAAGAGCAAAATACACTTGAAGGATCTGAAAGTAACCAGTTACTGGTATGTAAAACATGTACATTTAAATTCCTGCTCTCATATTGTTTTCTTTGCTTAGTAATTAGTGTATGCCAATTGCAATTACCATTCAGAATATTCTTTCAGAATCAATAGATCGTATTTTAATATTGATTTTCAAAGACTTTTAACTGATGATTAATCTTAAAATATGTCTGGTAACGTAGCAACTTATACCTAAATTTTATCCTTAGAAAAGAGGTCAATTTGTCAGAATATTGCATATAGGAAAACATTCTTGACTCTCTGAATCTGGCTTATTTCATTCAGCATGATGTTCTGCAATTCCATCCATTTACCAGCAAATGCCATCATGTCATTATTGCTTACGACTGAGTAAAACACAATTGTGTACATGTGCCACATTTTTTTTCTTTATCCATTCATCTGTTAACAAGCACCTGGGCTGGGTTCATATTTGGCTACTGAAAATTGTGCTGCTATATAACTATAGTATGCTGACTTTAGTTCTTTGGGATAATTATTGAGGGGTGGGATAGCTCGGTCTTAGGGTTGTGCATTCCTAGTCTCTTGAGGAATCTCCATATTGTTTTCCAGAGTGTTTGTGTTAATTTGAAGTTCCACTAACATTTATTATTGTTTGTATTCTTGATCATTTCTAGGGTTGTTGAACATCTTTTCATATACTTGTTGGCCATTTGCATTTATTTTTTGAGAATTATAAGTTTAGTTTTTTTTCCCATTTATTACTTGTTTTGTTTACATAAGCTTTGTAATTTGATGCTGTCCCAATTAATTGATTATTAATTTCATTCCTTGCCCTTTAGGAGTCTTGTTAAGGAAGTTGTTGCCTATACAAATTTGTTGGAGTGTTTAGCCTATGATTTCTTCTAGCAGGTGCAAAATTTCTGGTCTAATTCCTAGGTCTTTGATCCACTTTGAATTGAACTGTGTGCATTGTGAAGATATGGATCTAGTTGCATTCTTCTTTATATGGTGTGTAGTTTTCCCAGTGTTCAGAGCAAATGCTCTGAGGTTTTTCTCCATTCAGTATGACATTGGCTTTGGATTTTCATATTGGCCTTTACAATGTTGAGGTTGTTCCTTTTATCCTAAGTTTCTCCAGTGTTTTAATGTGAATGGGACTTCTCTCTCTCTGATTAGTTTGGTTAAGGGTTTATCACTCTTGTTCATCTTTTTTAAGAATCAACTTTATGTTGCATTTATCCTTTGTATTGCTTTTTAATTCTCAATTGCATGAATTTAAGCTCTGATCTTAATTATTACCTATCTTCTACTGATTTTGGAATTATATTGTTCTTTTTGATGGCATTAAAATATAATGTTAGATTTTTTTGTTTGGTATTTTTCTTTTATTTTAATGTAGGAAATCAGTGCTATAAATTTCCCACTGGGACTGCCTTCATACAGTCCCAGAGGTCTTGGTATTGTTCTATTCTCATTTGTTTTTAATAATTTAATTTCTTCCCCAATTTCTTCTTTGGCCAATTCCTGATAGAAAAGTGTATTACTTCATTTCAAGGTGTTAAAATGGTCTCTAATTTTTATCTGGTTCTTAACTCCTAATTTCATTCCATCATTATCTGATAGAATGCAAGGAATTATCTCTTTTTGTATTTGCTAAGACTTTCTTTGTGCTCCCAAATATTATCTGTTTTAGAGAAAGTTTCATGTGCCTTTGAGGGTAAAATGAATTCACTTCAATAGATGAAATATTCTACAGATGTCTGTTAAGTTCATTTCATTAATTCTACTTTTTACTCTTGGTTTATGTTTGGATGCCCTATCAAATAATGACATGGTTTGTTGAAATCACCCAGTATTATTGTATTGAGTTCTATTCGATTCTTTATAATATTGAGAAAGGCTTGCTTTTTGTTCATCAGTACACCAATGTTTGGGGCACAAAGACAATCGTTTCATCTTGTTGTTGGCTGATTCCCCTAATAAGTATGAAATAACCCAGTTTGTCTTTTCTGATTAATGCTGGCTTGATGTCTACTTTGATAGGAGAGTAGCTACCTATAGGACAGGTAGAAAATTATAGTCTCATTCTGTCTGGTAGCTCTTACTTCACTGCTTCCTTTCTGGACTTTGTAGGGGTGGAGGGCTGCTGCCTGCTCTGCCATATTCAGTCTCTAAAGGACTTAGAATTCTTTGATTTCCACAGGAAAATTCCTGTAGCCCAGATGAAGGAAGAAGGGTGATGAGAAAGTCAAGAGTTACTCAGGAACAGCACCTTAGTAGGGAGAGTTCAGGGAGGGTATTTGAACCCTGAGGAGGGTGGCTCAGGGTCAGAGCTGGGTGTGTGAGGAGGGGCTGCCCAGCTGTGCTGGTAGGAGGGCCCCAACTCACTTTGACAGGCCCATGTGTGTCCCTGCCATCCAGTGGAGACCACCTGCTTTTGCTCCTCAGGTCCTTCACATCCACACACTGTCTTGCTTGGTGCATATTGATATTGGCTCTTAAAATGTGTTAACTCCAGAGGAAGAATCAATCTAAAGGAAAACACTCTCTAATTTGAGAAGTTATGTACTTGATTTGAGGAAAAAGTTGCTTCTGGAGTGTCTATCTCTTTAGTAATGCAGAAATGTCTTAAACACAAAGAACCCAGTCTTCAAAATTCTCTCCTTCTCATATATGCTCTGGGTCCCTAAAACATTCTCACCAGTCATTTGCTAAGATGCATCGAAGTGAAAATAAATTAAAGCCTGAACATAACAAACTAGAAACTGAACATTCTTCTAACACTGAGGAGGAGAATTTTCATAATAATACAGAAAATTAAAAACTAGAAGTTGTTATAGTTACAATGAGAGAAGACCAAGGATTTGATCTACAAATAAAAGTAACTATGAACATAAGTACTCCTAGTTGGAATTTAAATGCTGGACCCATGCTTAGGGTCTAGTAAGTCAAAAGCCATCTTGATTCACGTCTTATCTAATCCCAAGAAGTGAATCAAATTACTCAAATAAAAAGGCACAGTATTTATACTGTGTATAAAATGACACTTGTAAGAAAACAAAATCAAATCAAATTTTGTCCCAGAATCCATCATGTGATGCAGTGCTACAGCTGTAAGAGCATGGGAACTGAATTAGAAAAGGTGAGTTTCTCTCTACCTCTTAGTGACAGAATAATAAAAGGATGTCTAGGTGAACACTTACTGCAAAACAAGGGAAGGTTTAGGAATGAGATAGGCATGTCACAGGTAGAGGTCTTGACATTAGAGAAAGAAAAAGTTCACCTTCAAAATGGGAGAGCTATTCTCTTGTTGCTACTCTTGGTTTTTCTCAGTATCAATTGTATTCTGATTTCCTGCTTTGAAAAAGCTCATGTATTAATGGTGTTATCTAAATAAGAAATTCTGTCTAGAAATTTAAGCTTTCTTCTCTCTCCATAAAGAGAATTTCAGGAAAACATTCTCATGATCTTTCTTTCTCATCATCTTAAGACAATCAATCTTACAAGTGGCCTGTGAACTGGGAAAGTAATTTAGTCCTATACCATATGACCTTCTGAACCAAGATAAGCATAAAGAAGTTGCTGACAGAATGTAATAAGCTTGAGGTGTTTTGTTTTTTTTCTCCCTCTTGGTGTAAGATTAATTCGCATTTATTTACACATAGACACACACACACACACACACACACACACACACACACACACAAAGGAAATGTAAGGGAAAGTCATGGCTGAGATGGAATATATCCATGTGCCTAGTTTTGAGATGTTTTCAGACAAACTAATCTGTTTATTGTGCTTTTATCTGTATAAATTTATCTGTTTTACCAAACCATTGAAACATAATTCTAATATGAGCACTTTAAATATCTTTTACAAGTATATATACTTCTTTTAAAGTCACTTCTGTTAAGTGTTTCTGTTTCAGTCAGCCCTTTACTTTAGGTTGTTTTGAAAAATTTGTTAATCTTGGTATGTTTGATCTTATCACATAAAGAAGCATTAATCTCAGCCCCAAATTTTGTACTTGACTTCAATGTAGAACATGGATTTCTGAAGTTCTAAGTTTTAAATATAGACAAAATCTAGACATATCCTTTTAAAAATAAATGTAGTAGCATATGAACTAGGAGGCTTCCCATCTCCCAAGAAATAATTGGTTTACTTTTTCTGGATAATTTATCTGATGCAGAATTGTGAAATTGTGGTAACTTTCCATGCCACCAAAATGCTAGGTAGTGCCAATTGGGAGTCATTAAAACTTTCTTGGTTTTACTCCCAAGTAGATAATGGGGCTAATGCAGATAACCAGTCTGGAAAGCATCTCATTTTCCAGCATTCCATAGTTACAAGGTAGCAATTTTGTCCTGCTCCTTGTGTTGCAACAAATTTTAGTTCATATGTTGCAATGAGCACCTTCACTGTTTTGCTCTCCCTGTATCCAAATGACAAAAGAATTGCACAAGGCAAGGTGGGGGAGGTTGGAGACTAGCTTAATGCAGAAAGGGGAAATCTTCCTCTTTACTGAGGCCCAACAAGACACAGTCCCTGAATTTGGGTGTTTAATGTACAATCCATGTAGGAAAGACAGAAGAGGACTCCTTTCCTATCCTTTTCTTTTTATGTCTGCCAGAGCTACAGGGAGTGTAAATGCTAGATAGCAAAAATGGCTCAAAATAAAAGCATGGAATGAAAAATTGTTCTATTTGAAATTTTGGAAAACTCTTGTTATTTCCACTGAAACAAAAATGAAGCAGAATTGGCAAAAATTTTCAATGATATTTTATAAAATTAAAGGAAGCTCAAAACATTTTATGGGCTGAAATAATGACAAACTAAATCAGGAGGTAAAATCAAGGATAAAAGCAGAAAAAAAGAAACCTTTTTATTAGAAAGTAGCATGATCATCCTTATCATTCATTAAAGGTGGAGGAAAAAAAGACGAAGCACCCAACTGAAACAAAAGAATCACAAAACCTATGTGAAAGTACTGAAGACACTGATTATAATGATGAACCCATGGAACAGAGAAAGAG